GTCATGATTTAGTTGCAGATGCTGAAGCAGGTAAATTAGATCCAGTTATTGGTCGTGATCAAGAAATTCGTCGATGTATACAAGTTTTATCACGACGAACAAAAAATAATCCTGTTCTTATTGGAGAACCAGTAAGAATTTTTTATTTAAAAAGTCGTTTGTTTTTTTTAATGAAGAATTTTGTTTTAAATAGGGTGTTGGAAAAACAGCTATTGTTGAAGGTTTAGCACAACGTATTGTTCATCAAGATGTTCCTGATACATTACCACGACGTTTAATTGCATTAGATATGGGAGCATTAGTTGGTAAGATTTTCAAATATATACTTAAATTAGTTTTAATCTTACAAAGAGTTTAATATGTGAGGTAAAAATTGTTCCTAATATCATTTGTAAGATTAATCAAAATATTTTTTATTTTTTGTTACTAAATAATAGAATAAATGAGTTAAAAATGATTTGAATCATAGATTTTGCTATCAGTATTCAATTAGTTTCAGATTTCTAACAGAATATCGTCATATGTCTTTTTTTGAGATTACTCAAAAGTATAGTTTTTACCTAAACAAATTATTTTTATTTGAAAACTTTGTTATTAGATATATTTTATTAAATAAAAAAAAAATTCATTTTTAGCTGGTGCAAGTCATCGTGGTGAATTTGAAGAACGTCTCAAATCTGTTTTGAAAGAAATTGAAAATTCAAATGGTGGTATTATCTTGTTCATTGATGAAATACATTTAGTTCTTGGTGCTGGTAAAGCAGAAGGTATGAAGAATATTTTAGTTTTTTGCAAAAAAACAAAAACAATCGATTTAATTGAGTTTCTTTTTTGATTTAAGGTGCAATGGATGCTGCAAATTTATTAAAACCAATGTTAGGTATGAATTTGTTAATTTAATAACAAAAAAAAAAATTTTTTGTTTATAGCTCGAGGTGAACTTCGTTGTATTGGTGCAACAACTTTAGATGAATATAGAAAATATATTGAAAAAGATCCAGCATTTGAAAGACGTTTTCAACAAGTATTAGTTAAAGAACCAACAGTAGCTGATTGTGTTTCAATTTTACGTGGTATTAAAGATCGTTATGAATCACATTTTGGTGGTATGATTAATTTATTTCACTTATTCTTTTCTTCTAAATTTATTTAATTTTGTTTTAGTTCGAATTCTTGATTCAGCTTTAGTTATAGCTGCACAATTATCAAATCGTTATATAACAAATCGATTTTTACCAGATAAAGCTATTGGTATGTTGATACATATTTATTTTTAAAAATTTTTCTTAAATTAAAATTTGATTTTTTTTTCTTTAAAGATTTAATCGATGAAGCATGTGCAAGTATACGTGTACAATTGGATAGTCAACCAGAAATAATTGATCAATTAGAACGTCGTGAATTACAATTAGATGTTGAAGCAACTGCATTATCACAAGAAAAAGATGATGCATCAAAACAACGTTTAAAACAAGTTAAAGAAGAATTAGCTAAAATACGTGAAGAATTAAAACCATTAAAATTACGACATAAAGCTGAAAAAGAACGTGTTGATGAATTAAGAAAATTAAAACAAAAATTAGAAAATCTTCAAGTTAAAATGGCACAAGCTGAACGAGAAAAAAATTTACCATTAGTTGCCGATATGAAATATGGTGCTATACCAGATCTTGAAAAAAAAATAGCTGAAACAGAATATCGAATTACAGAAGAAAATAAACAACAACAAGATCGATTATTAACTGAAGTTGTTGGACCAAATGCTATTGCTGAAATAGGTTTATATTTAAATATTTTTGTTTTATTGAATATTTAAGTCTATAGAATTTTCTTTTAGTTAGTCGATGGACTGGTATACCAGTATCAAAATTATCTCAAACTGAACGTGAACGTTTATTAAAATTAAGTGAACATTTACATGAAAAAGTAATTGGACAAGATGATGCTGTTGATAGTGTTGCTGAAGCTGTTCTTCGAAGTCGTGCTGGACTTTCAAGACAAAATCAACCAATTGGTTCATTTTTATTTTTGGGTTTGTTTATTTTAATATTAATTAATTAATATTGAATATATATTTATTTAGGTCCAACTGGTGTTGGTAAAACTGAATTAGCAAAAACATTAGCATTAGAATTATTTGATTCAACTAAATCAATGGTTCGTATTGATATGAGTGAATATACAGAATCTCATTCTGTAGCTCGATTAATTGGTGCACCACCAGGTAACTATTATTTTTCAATATTTTTGATTTATTTCAATTTTTTTTTCTTTTATTAGGTTATGTTGGTTTTGAACAAGGTGGTCAATTAACAGAAGCTATTCGACGACAACCATATGCTGTTATTTTATTTGATGAAGTTGAAAAAGCACATCCACAAATTTGGAATACTTTATTACAAGTATTAGATGATGGTCGACTTACTGTAAGTTATTTATTATTTTTGAATAAAAAAAAAAAAGAAAATTTTTCCAGGATGGAAAAGGTCGAACAGTTGATTTTACAAATACAATTATTGTATTAACATCAAATATTGGTGCACAATATATTTTAGAAGAAGTTGAACAGCCATCATCGACTGGAAAATATTCCGATGGAAAATTATCTCAAGCAATTAAAGATCGTGTTATGAAAGAAGTTCGTATTTTTTTTTCAAATAATATTAGATAAAAAAAATAATAAGTTTTTATTTTACAGGTTCGTTTACATTTTCGACCAGAATTTTTAAATCGTTTGGATGATATTGTATTTTTTCAACCACTTAATATCAATCAACTTTCTTCTATTGTTCATCTTCAATTAAAATCACTTGAAGAACGTTTAAAAGAACAAGAAATTACAATTAGTTTAACAGATAAAGCTATACAATCAACTCTCAATAAATCTTATAATCCAAGTATGTTATTTTTATTCATATTCAAAGAATTTGTTTTTATCTCTCTAACATTATTTTATCAATAATGAGAAATATCTATCCTTAATTATTCTTGAACTTAATTTGAAGAAATGAAAAGAAAAAATAGTTCTAAAAAAAGAATTCTTTATTTATTCAATTCAATTATAGAAAATTAATAATTTGTTCTTTGTCATATAAGAAAATTTCAGTTTCAATGTTTATTATGATGGATAAAATTCTATTTGTTTTTTTCTTGTTTAAAATAGTTTATGGTGCTCGTCCATTGAAACGTTATCTTGAGAAATACATAACAACTGAAATTTCAAAATTAATAATTCAAATGAAACTTTCACCACATAGTCATGTTACAGTTGATACTGATTCACATGATCAATATCAATTTAGTATTCAACAATTACAAAGAACAAGTTCAAATACACCAACAAAACCTACATATCATCGTAAGTATTCATAGTAATAATAAATTGATTGTAATACTCTTTTTTTTTTTCTTATCTTAATAGGTCGTCGTACTTATGAAGGATTAGATGAAGAACCAATGATGGATGTTGATAACGATGAAGAATATGACAATCAATTTTTAGGTTTTGATGATAATAAAGATTCACCTCAAGCTTTGTCGAAACGAATGAAACAATCACCAAGAATGAAAAAATAATTTTATTCAAATCTTATTCATTCTTCATATGTCAACCAAGTTATACAAGATTCGATAGTCAATATTAAAAGATACTTTTTATTCTTTATTTCTTGTTGAGAATGTATCTATAGTTTTTACTTAGTTCTTTTTTTCTTTTTTCGCCTTAAATAAACATGTAAAACATGATTTCTATGCAGTTATTTGATGATATTCGGTTGAAAAATTTTGTTATCATAATGAATATAAATTATGTTCGATCGGATTTTTTCCGAACATGTTGACTATATTATAGACAAGATGAATTAATCTAGACAACTGAAACTTATAAAAAATCTGCAAACATTTGCACGCAAAAATTCGTTTAAGTCCTATCTCCGTTGCTCGAATCTGTCCGTTTCAACTTAGTAATCCTCTCGTTTATTTCTTGGATGTTCTCTTTATGAATAAATTTCCTTTTCATAGATGATTTGAAAACTGAAAATATTTTTTCATCTATCATTTTCTTTATCTCCGTCTGATAAGACATATGTTATCGGTGGAATTATCATCACGCGGCCTTTCTACTCATTTAGAAGATATGTATTTTCAATCTTTTCGTTGTTCAATGCGATGCAAAATTTAGGTTTTATGATTGTACATGATCTGACAAGGGACGAAAACAAAATTATTCCTTTCCTTATATTGATAGACACAAGCAAGTATGAGACAGTACATTAAATGAAAGTTCAACAAACTTGCTATCATCTTATAAAAATATATAGAAATCGCTTTAGTTATGTAAAAGATATCTGTTTACTGTTTCAAGGAAGATTCAGAACAATCTTTATATTTTAATTTCACAGTTTATAGAACGATCACTTACGTGTTATAAACAATCCTGAAATGGACGCCTTGAAAATTTCATTTATATCAATATACCCAAAGACAGTTGAAAGTTATAATAACCACGGTTACTCAATGGCAAGAGTTCAAGCTACTCAAGCTAGCTCAACGGCACATGGGTTGAAAGCAAAAGTTAAAATTTTGTCGTTATTTATCGACTTGTACAATATCTAAATATTTCGACCTAAGTATCAATATAAAACATGCGAACAAATCATTTTCATATTCGACGTATTTCCTGTAGAAAAATGACAATTATTATATCAGAATGAAAGAGAAAACATAAGTATTTGTCAAAGAATCATGGTGGTTGGATAAAGAGTTCTTCTTTCATATCATCACATTATGAAATCGAACAAATATGTAATGGGTTTATCATAAGTTTTTAAATATTTATCTGATGTACTAGAGAACAAAATCTTACAATTGTTCAATGGATTCTCTAATAAAAGGAAAGAAATTTATAAAAAAAAAAAAGTACACAAAATATGTTCTAATGGAAATTCAAAAAAAGTCTTGTTTAAACATAAATATGAGATCATGGAAGAAAATCATAAACATTAAGATGTTGTTATTTGTGTTGATTGCCTCGGATTTTCTCTTTTGATGTAGAAAAGAAGATAAGCATCTTTGGAAACAATGTCACTATCGAAACAAAACGAGGATGTAATTGTATCATTGAATTCGTACCATTCACTTTTACCGTTCGATTCGTGTCGAGCACATGCTGTATAATGACCTCCATATATTGATCCAGTGTGCTTACTAACAGCAAATAAATCGTAAATGATATCTTCTGATGATGATGAAAGAAAACTAGTTAAATTGAGTCCATTTATAGGATAGTCGACAAATGTTTCTAATTTTTCTCGTAAGCCATCTTCATGTGAAAATCGTTTGAATTGAATAATGAGTATAGGTGGAAGGCTGCAAATTTGAAGTTGTTTAGTTGCTTTCGTATTTTTTTTACATGTTTCTTGTTGACATGACCACGAATCTTCAAGAGGTTCAAGTGAACAAAATTCTCGAAGACAATCTTCAAGAGTTAATTTTTTCGTATGTCTATTGAGTCGATTAAACTGTGTACCACTTGCAAAATCATCTTTTTCGATAAGTATTACTTCTCTAGTCGATAACTGATTCAGTGGCATTTCTAAGTCAAGTTGTTCATCATTCGCCATAACCATGATAGTACCGAACAAGGTACGAGATGAATCAGATTCAGCAAAGGCTTGTATAAGATTTTTAACTTGACCAGTCTCGGATACATACACATATGCCAACTCATTATTACCATATCTAGAAATAAATTTGATCAGAAATCTACGACCCTGTTGAACGAGTGGTAATGGCAAGAAACTGATAGGGTTAGTCGTTTTTTCTTCATGTTTACATTCAAGACAAGTAATAGTCGATTGTATTTTGCCAAAAAATAGTTCTTCAATAATGGTATTTGATTCATTGCCATTTTTTTCTTTTAATTCTCTATGTATTTCATCGAGAAGAAAAGTCATAAATTCTTGAGCATCTTGCTGGTCCGAAGTAGCAAAACGGGGAGCCTGAACACCAATTATTTCCCTAATGTGAGTGGGCCGAAATGCATGACAATAATTCATAGTTTTATTGGGTAAGTATAAATTTCGCAATAGATCAGCATATGCTCCAGTCACTGTACCGATTGTATAAAACTGATTCCATTCAGCATCTAAGTATTTATCATCATCTGAAGCATCTTGAGTAAGACCATCTAAAAAGAATTCAGTTAATGGTTTTGCATGAGCAAGACATTGCAGTGCGCTGTTCATATAGCATGTGTTTCCAAGATTATATAAACCAATAGGCATTGAAAAAGATCGCCGCGTTTCTAATAGTCTACTCGGTGTGGAGGACGTAGTAACATAACTGCTCGTGCTTGAATAATAGGTTGGCGTCTTATCTATTGCAATAACATCAATTGCATCACCGGGCTTGATTCCAATATCACCTAAACGATGATCCAGTTTTTTATCATCAATAAGAATCGATCCAGATGACATGACAACAATAGATAATGTTCGATTTTTCTTGAGAGCTTTTATCTTTTTTATTAAATCATCCACAGTATCGTTTACTGAAATTTCAATGGTAGTACGATCGAATTCCGAGAATTTAACATTAACTAAAACGTCACCTGGTTGATTTTTTGCAATTAACGACGAAGATCTTAATGCCCTATTAATTCGAGCATCTACAGTAGATGATTGATTATTAGAATGGGCCAGACGAACACTAGCATAAATGGTTTCACCAGGATTTATACCAAGATTGGAAAGCGTTTGATTTGATATATTCAAGTCTATTTTGTTGTGCATACGGTCAAACAGCTTAACATTAAGAGGAGAATGATCTTTGAATCTTTGCTCGATTTGATGTATCACCTCATCAATCGTAGTTGTATGCGATATGTCGAGCAGTTGTGTTCCACTAATGTGAGCGCATTCGACATGAACCGTCGACGATGAACGTGATGGAACGATCTGAACAAAAATACTTTCTTGATCAGTGATATTTAATTCGCTCAATAGTTTGTCAGAATCTGACATGATATTGAGTTCGCTTTCAAGAAGTGTTACGAGATGAATTCGTTCCTTCGCAATTGATTCTAAGGAAAATATTTTTATGACATATTCAAGTAACATGTTTAATGTTGTCTTAGCCTTGTCCCATTCATATTCTGCTTTGTCAAGAGAATCGGGTCCCCATAGCGTTAATTGATAGAGCCTTGGTGATGTAACAGTAGCTGATGGTTCAAAATAAAGAACATGTCCCTGTTTAATGTTAAGCTGTTGTAATGTCATGTTTGTATTTGATGGTGGTGCAGCAGAATGTTGATTGTCAATAGATAATGCAACCAATGAAATATCATCAGGACAAATATGGTCAAGATCAGCAATCTTCAAAAATCTTTCTATAACGATGTGAATAGTGTCTGTCAATGAAAATACAGCACATCTTTTCATATCCAAATCTTGTCGATGGTTCTTATAGTGAAGTTGAAGTTCTATGTATTCATTTGACTCAGTGTTTGATGAACCAAAGCTGTTTCTTTGTTTATCAGAAAACGCTAACTGTCTCTCTGAAGTCATGGTATTTGTACGCGAGACTGAAGATGAAATTGGTGGAATGATTTCGACGTTGATCAATGACTGATCTGTGATTCCTGAATCAATTAATAGTTTGTCAGGATTTGATGACAGATCCAGCTCGTCAAAATGCTGAAAAAGATGAATGCGTTGGTGTTCGATCGATTCTAACGAAAATATTTTGATAATATATTCCAGTAGCATTTTTAATGTTGTTTTATCCTTGTTCCATTGATACTCTGCTTTGTCAAAATTAGGTCCCGATATAGTTAAACGAAAGGATCTTGGTGGTACAACATCATTTGATGGTTCGAAGTATAGAACATCTCCCTGGTTAATGTTGAGTTGATTCAATGTCGTGTATATGCTTAATGACGATACAGAATAGCGTTGATTACCAATACCTAACTCAACTAGTGAAACATCATTAGGAAGAATATGGTTAAGACCTAAAGTTTTCAATAACTGTTTAATAACGTCGCGAATTATAGTTGCTGGCGAAAACTGAGTTTTCACTATTTTTTTAAAATCTTGTTTGCGATCAGTGTATTGCAATTCAAGTTCTATACAACGATTTGAATCAGCATATAGTACATCGCCAGAGCTTATTTGTTTATTCAAAAACGATAACTTTCTCGCCGGAGTAATAGTATTTACATACGAGTCTGAAAATGAGATTGGTGGAATGATTTCGACTTCGATCAGCGATCGATCTTTGATTCCCAAGTCAATTAATAGTTTATCAGCGTTTGATGATAGATCAAGTTCTTCAAGTTGTTGAAAAAGATGAATGCGTTGGCTTTCGATCGTTTCTAACGAAAATACTTTTATAACATATTCAAGTAACATTTTCAATGTTGTTGTAGTTCTATCCCATTCATATTCTACTCTGGTAATAGGACTAGGTCCCCAGATCGTTAAATGAAAGAGTCTTGATGTTGCGGCCATAATGGATGGTTCAAAATAGAGATCATGTCCTTCTTTAATGTTAAGTTCGTCCAATGTCAAGTATTCACTTAATGAGGACGGGCGCGAACGTTGGTTACCAATACCTAACTCAACTAGTGAAACGTCACTAGGAGAAACATGGTCAAGGCCAGCAGTTTCCAAAAACTTTTTTATAACATCACGAATAGTATCTGTCAATGAAAATGAAACATACTTCTCTACTTTCAAATCTTGTCGATGATCTTTATAATGAAGTTGAAGTCGTATACGGGAACTTGTTTCAATATTCGATAAATCACTAGTGATCCTGTGATCATCCAAACACGATGCTTGTTCAGAGGACATGATAATATTTGCAATTGAATAGTAGTCAAATGATGATGATGATAAACATGGTTCTTTTTTAAAGAAAATTAATCATCTACAATATAAAACCGTAAATATTCACAAAAAAAGAAGAAATTTTCATTCTATAAATATAATAACACGCACCTTTTAGAATTATACGCAACTGTTTTTGAATAAAGAATACCTAAATTCTGAGTCATTCTATGAAGTTTATTGGAAGAAAATCGAGAAGAGATATTATTTACTACTTTATCTTTTCTCACTTAGTACTTTCTACTGACTAACTTAACATACTCATCATTTAAATAATAAAGATATGCAAACTTCGACATTTTCAAATAGTTTTTGTTGCGACTTACACGTTCAAACTTTACTGAAGAATTCGAAAAAAAAAACGTGTATACATGTTTCTTTTTTGTTTCGCTTTTTTACAATATTTTTTATCGTCTTAGTTTACCTTCTGCCTTTCCATGTGCACGTTGAGAAAAAAAAATGATCATCGACACTAACACCAAAAGAATAAAAAAAAGTCGACATCAACATGCAATGAATAAAAAGAAATCTAGCTTCCTTTTTTGTTCTGTTCTGTTTTCTTCCTAGTCAATTTTTGAAGCTTATATGCATCATTTATACTTCTTGTCACATTTTATAGTCAGAAGAAAATATGACAATAAATATTACCAAAACAAATTTTCAAATTTGTACATAGAATATTAACCCTTATTATTTAAATAGCTTTACAATTAATGTAAGATTTTATATATAGTGTATGATCATTATGTTTTTATTTTTAATAAATAAAAAAACTTCAATTTTAATTTAAAAAAAACAAAGACTTTGATGTTAAAAGACGCTTACTACTGATTTCATAAATACTGTATTCTTGCGCATGGTTTATTTTTAAGTAAGAGAATACGATGATATTTAATATTCATTATTTTCTTCCACGGGTCGAGAGTCAACAAAATTTCAAAATATGTTGGAAGCTTTGTCAAATAATGGCGAAATTGAGAATTGTTCAACGCTTTGAATTTAAATATCATTATTATATAGTACAGTATCCATTTACAAATAAGTTTGTCTGTGGAAATCCTACCGATAACTGACATTTACAGTTTAATTCAAGAACGAATAAGTTTTAAATCTGACAAAACTCATGTAATCGTATACTACAGAAACCATAGAAAATGTAAAAAAAACTGTTAATTATAAATCCTTGATCTGACTCATAATAATTGGTACTGAAATTGATTTGTTACAATGATAAAATTTCACGAAAGTTTGTAACCAATGAATGCTCATGTTTTTATTTAAAACCGCTTAAAATAGTCTTTATCAATCAGATTTATTTTTTTTTTCATTTGAATGATTGTTACATTTGCGAATATTTGTTGAAAATCTTTTGATGATTCAACTTTACTTTTTTACATTAAATTCATTGTTTGATCATTGATATCGCTATCTAACTCACAATTATCAATGTTTTCATGATATTTTCAAAGAAGATATAATATTTAATTCAGTTAATCAGAATTATCAAATACTATGAACTATTGACAGAATATTTTCAGTATTCTTTGTTCTTTGAAATCCATTCTAAAAAAGATCAAAAAAGAACAATTATACTCTTGCAACATTTGATTAAAATAAAAATATAAAAATTAATGCTTGTGTCATAGTCAATAATATTAATTATTTGTTATAAATCTTTGTAATTTAGACTGAAATTTGTCTTTAATCAAATAATCCAACAACGCCATTTAGAATATTTGGTCTATGAAGAAATCGATGAAAAATATTATGCTGTTAGTCGAATTAATTGACAAGCATAATTTCGATTTATTTGATCTTATGATTATTAATTGTTTCATACAAGAGACAGTATACTTTATAGACTAGCAATTATCACATCTTTTTAACATTATGAAAAATTAACGCAACGTAATCATATATAATTTACGAGGATATAATAAAAACTCTAACGCATGCAACCATATAATTTATTTCCAAGAGATCTACTGCCTACTTTTATGAAACAAGAATAATATTAGTTGGACAGTCTATAAACATATGTAAATTTTAAGATATAGCATCGGATCCAATATAAAATATCGATCTTTTCTATCATTTTCTTTATTTGATAATACATATTTATTAATTATTGACATCAATTGAAAATCAAGGTCAATGTCTCTGTCGATATGAATGACGGATTCAGGATTCTAGCAAAAGGGCAGCACTGACTACAAGATGCTTTCTGAAATAATGTGAATATTTTTTTTAGAAGCCAAGCAGGTAATGTATTCGCATGCATACTGTTCTCTGCGCCACTTTTATACAAAAAATCTAGAGATTTTTTAACAAACAGTTTTTATCAAAACTAAGCCATGAGCAGAAAAACCAAACAATCCAAAAGACGCTTAAATTTGAAAAAATTCATCAATAGTAAAATCAATTTGATATCTAAATCCAAAGGAGAAAAAGCAGTCACTTTTGTCTTGATATCTGCTGTTTCTTCGTTATGTAATTGCTGAATCATTAAGTCTTGGTTACGATTTTACTGCTCATTGAACTTACTTTTTTTTTTTGAAAAAAAACAGTTATCTGAGAATAGGCTTAAATCTAAAAAAGCATCTGAGTTGATATGAAAGAAAGCTATCTTAAAAATGAATAGAATTCACATTTCACCAATGTATGTTTAGAGCAGAGCACTGTATAGGATAGGATAGGACATCGGACATTTCAAGCGTCAAATACCTTTTCAAAGAGACGACATTTAATCAAATTGTTATCAGTTGATTCATACTTATTGCCGCCTGACGCTCTGAAAAGCATTATTAACAACTAACAAAGTTTGGAATATGTTGAAATTCTTCGTAGTTATTTTAATTTTTGATGGAGATATTGGAAGACTCCCATTAAGAAAATGAATTAATCTTTAAATTCTTCATAGTCGTATTGTTCAATATGTCATTTTTCACTAAGCGAAAGTGACTGGTTCAGCTGTATATTCATTCATAAACATCGATGCAGAATCGAAAGAAGAAGATGCGACAGAAGCGATTATAAAAGACGAACCTATGGTCGAACTTATTGTATTGCATCGATAAGATTGGCTTTTAACTAGAGTCCGATGATCGCTTTTTTAGGTTATAGTAACCAGAACTGTTGGCACCGAAAAATCTTATTGACGACTGGCATTATAAATGTTTCATTCTTGTTCTGTGATTTATAAACAAACAAAATTTTCACGTATTGTCTACGTCGAATCATACTGGTAGCGCAAGGTACTAAACAAAAATCTTACTCTATCACGCTTGAACTAGGAATTAGCACTCTTTTATTGTTTTTGAGATTTTGCATGCTGATGTTATCAGTATGTGAAAACTTATTATGAACAGTTTGCACTGTAATCAAGAACATTGCTTTGATACAAGAATAGTAGTAATTAAGAAGTTCAAAAAAAAACGTCGCATATGATATTAAGATTCATTTGGATAATCGTAAAAAAGATAAAGAAAACGACGACATCGATTTAGTTTTGAGCTCTTTTGTATCATTAAAAGTTTCATGTAATTATTTCACATTAAAATGATTTTTCTTTCTTTCATGTACAATTTCAATAAATTGCTTTTTATTAGTTAAATATATGAATAATTTCGAAAAAAGAAATATCAAAATTTCAGATAACAACTAAAATTAGTTGCTTGTCGTTCAGTATTAGATGAACCGAAATTAGACTCGTTTTTTTTTAGTTTTACGAACCAGAATCTCGGTTCCAATTCTAGATACTTTTTAAAATCGCTAAGCTCTATTTTCAACAATAGAGGATGAATTATTCAGAAACATTCTATGAGCAATTAGCAAGGACAAAATCACATCATTTGTTACTAATTATTACAATAAATCGAGCTCCATCCATTCTTGATCTATTGGTGCATTAGTATTTTCTGTTATATCGCGTCATAATTAGTATAGTCCTTGAATACCTATAGAAGTTTGTTTTCTCACTTGTTTTTTTTTTCGAAAAAAAATGAGTACGAAATTTATATCAAGGCAGCCATATTGTTTTTTGCAATAAAATATTTTTACATAAAATTTGTTTATCTCATAGAACGATGGGATGGGACTATTTCATCCCACGCGGAGCTCTGTTTGATACCAGTCGCAGTATCTCTCGATTCTAAAATTTGAAATTTTTCCGTACAAACATTTATTAGAAAGATCTTCTGCATGAATTCAGTATTACTTTTATTTGCAAGAAGGTTACGATGACCGAATTACCATACTGCTTGACTTATTATTGATCAATATGTATAATCATTATAATCATTGTTCTCGAGTTTTTTATCTTATAGAAAAGAATCTTGCATGTGAATGGCATAACGTCATTAAACGACATCTATTACTGTCATATTCCGAACATTTATTATTTGCCAAACAGTTCTCGAGACAAAAATTTTTGTATCAAAAAAATTCAAGAACATTGCTGACGTTTAATAAGTTATTTACTTTTTTCTTTCTTTTTTCTTTTTTTTACAGAACCAGAATCGATTAGACCAATAAAGTCACAGATTTCTTTTTCTTCCAATATTTACTCATAACATTTTATCAACTCTAAATAATATTCATCCGTTATACATGAAGGAGAATGTTTTTCAATGATAACCACGAAATTATATAGCATATGCATTACATTTGAAATCAATACAGTGTATCTTCATGACGAAACGCCAACAATAAAAAAAAAGGAGTCTGTAGGTTGTCGATCGTCAAGAAAAAGAAAGATTCAACCTGTACAAGTTGGTTAGTTACATGAAACATGAAAGGAAAGAAAAAAGAACGGCCATGATTACTAGTATAGATGTTTTTTATGCTTACAGTCACCATAGACGTTTCGTTTTTTCTTTTAAATTAGTTGCATCGTTTATATTAATAAAAAAAATTATTATTTTAGATTAAAGAAAAACGGTTGTTTTTCAATATGAATTTATTCATCATTATTTTGAGTTTGATTTTATTTCATGAATATTATATATATGGTTTAGATGCTGAAGAATTAATTGGTATTGATGTATTAACGAAATTAAAAAATACATCACCAGATTGTGATCTTCGTGATTTTCTTATAAATCTTAATGAATCTAAATTATTACATGATGATCTAAGCAAATATTGTTCATCATCAGATGCAGAAAAACAATATAGAATATTATGTCATATGCTTTCATATGAACTTGAAATAGGTTGCAGACTCCCAACTAAATCACGTCCTTCAAAAGTTTTATATGCAATTCAAAAGTCATCTAAACAAATATGTGATAAATCCAACATACAAATGACCAATAAATGGATATGGAATAGAATAACAAACGATGGACAAAAACAAATTGGTGTCGAATCAAATGCTTTATGTCCTAAAGTTACAAGTGATACTGATGTACTTCGATTAGCAAGATTTTTTTATCAAATTGCACCATTTATTAGAACTGCTGATTTATCTAAAACAAAAAAAGGTTAGTTACAAAGCTTTGTAATGAAAGGAAACTTGTATCAATTCACTCTTAACTGATATAAGGAAAATTTTTTTTGCCTACCAATAAATTTAAATTTTATTCAAAAACAAAAGTGATAAAACGATCGAAATTCATGACTTAATGATGAAAAGTTGTCTGTTTTGATAGACCAATTATCGTCAGGAAGATAGTTTCGTAATTAAAAAAAAATTAATTTGGAGTTTCTCTCACAAATATTGTATCTAAATATTTTTCTCAAAATAATAAATATGCATAGCATAAAAGACAAATTGACTTGAAAATTCAATATTCTGAAAAAAATGTTAATTTACGATAAAATTTTCAGACTATTTGAATAAACAATCAAATCTATTTTTAAATTAAGAAAAATATAGGTTCAGAGATTTTTCGACGGAACGAAATGTTTCTTGCGAAGATTTCATAACATGATAGTTTTTCTTTCTAGGAATTTTGAGTTGTCAAGATCCTTCGTTTTTGATAACAACTACATACTGATTTCAAGGGCTTGTAATATTAGTCTACTTCATACGGTGAAACATCAACACCAAAATGCAGGATCTAGACGATTTAAAGTTCATAAAGTTAAAAGACATTGATAATGATTTTTATAATTAATTTTAAAGTTTATCCGTACGAATTAATCTTAACTTAAAAATGACACAAATTTTATTTCGCCGTTAATTTTTGAAATAGTTTATATCTAAAATTAACCAATTAATTTTTTCTTTGTTAGCTAAACTTCAATCAAATACAAATAATGTTTTAAAAGAATCACCTTCGCAAGATATAAAGAATACCAAAGAAACTATTGTTAATGAAGCACAAACAGATAAAGAAAAAACACAACAATCCTCTCGCATAAATACAAAAAAAACTGATGATGCTATCGATGGATTGAAAGAAAAGACTTCTCAAATTGCACAAGAACAAAAAGATAAGACTGGTCAAGCTGCCGAAGAACAAAAAGACAAGGCCGGTGAAGATAAAAAAGAGAAGACGGCTCAAACTGGTGAAGGCACAAAAGACAAGGCTGATGAAAGTGCAAAAGACAAGACTAGTGAAGGTACAAAAGAAAAGAATATTCAAACTGGTGAAGGCACAAAAGAAAAGACTACTCAAACTGGTGAAGGCACAAAAGAAAAGACCGTTCAAACTGGTGAAGATGCAAAAGACAAGACTAGTGAAGGTACAAAAGAAAAGACTGCTCAAACCGGTGAAGGTGCAAAAGACAAGGCTGATGAAGGTATAAAAGAAAAATCTATTCAAGTTGGCGAAGGCACAAAAGAAAAGACTAGTCAAGTTGCAGAAGAATCAAAAGACAAGACTGGTGAAGGTGCAAAAGAAAAGACTGCTCAAACTGGTGATGGTACAAAAGTTAAGGCTGATGAAGGAACAAAAGAAAAGACTGTTCAAGCTTCAGAAGAATCAAAAGACAAGGCTGGTGAAGATAAAAAAGAGAAGACGGCTCAAACTGGTGAAGGCACAAAAGACAAGACCGATGAAGGAACAAAAGAAAAGACTGTTCAAACTGATGAAGGCAAAAAAGACAAGACCGATGATGGTACAAAAGAAAAAACTGCTCCAACCGGTGAAGGCAAAAAAGACAAGACCGATGAAGGTACAAAAGAAAAAGCTGCTCAAACTGATGAAGGCAAAAAAGACAAGACTGATGATGATACAAAAGAAAAAACTGCTCCAACCGGTGAAGGCAAAAAAGACAAGACCGATGAAGGTACAAAAGAAAAAGCTGCTCAAACTGATGAAGGCAAAAAAGACAAGACCGATGATGGTACAAAAGAAAAGATTTCTCAAACTGATGAAGGCATAAAAGACAAAGTAAATATTGGTTCCAATGTTGTTTCAAATACAACTAATAAAACCGGTAAAAGAATAAAAGATTTCGAAAAACAGAGTTATGTTTTATTTTTCTTTTGTAAGGTGATCAAAGTCAAGGTGGTACTGAGAAAGCTAAACAATCAGGAGAAGAATCAGTGGTCAATAAAACTAGTGACGAAATAAAATTACGTAAAAATGCAACGAATGAACTCTCGCCAAATACAGGTAAGTTTACATCTTGATTTTCCGAAAAAAAAACAAAATTTATTCTGTAGGTGAGAAGTCACAGCAAGTCTTAGATTTGAATAAAGATAAAAAAACAGAACCAGAAAGCAAAAAAAGCGAGGACAATACAGATAATAATGATAGTAAGTTATTATTTAACTCAAGAAATAAACTAGAAATAAATTATTAAGATGATGAAGATAATAATAATGACAAACAATCAGAAAATAATGAACCAGGTACTAAAGTTTTTATTTTATTTATTTATTTTTAATGATTATCTTAGTTGGACAAATTCCAAAACCAGATTCGTCGCCTAAAAAAGATCAAGAAAAAGGTATTTTATTCATTTGGATTTATCATATTACCTTAAATAGTTTTATTCAATATATTGCATTATTACAAAAATCTCTGAAATTTATTTTACTAATTATTCTATGTAACTATATAGTTCAATTAAATATTACTTTGTGTCGAAATCGAATCTTTGATAAAAGTCAGTAACTGTGAAAGAGAAAATTTTAGCATGTTGATATGAAATAGGACATGAAAACATGAAATAGAAAAAATTATGATATTGATTTATTTCGATTTGGATAAGAGAATTGAATTTGATTATTGAGTTGAGTATGAGTTTCCGCCTTTAAACACCAGACTTTTAACAAGATTCAATGTAATCACATTAGAAAACGAACCTTCAACATTTTCGTACAGGAATAGTAAATCAAAGAATATTTTCTACAAAAATCTACTCAACATATAAAATAATTTTTTGAACTGATTAGATTTTTTAAATTTAGATGATAACAAAGCAATCGAATCTAGTAAGTTGCTTTCTAGTTATTGACATTTTTCATTATTCGTAATTCTAAAGCTATTGATAAAACAAAAGATGTTGGAGTAACAACAGAAAATAAAACATCGAATCTTGCTAATGAAGGTGGTGAGTTTAATAAAATAAAATAAAAAATAAAATCACATCTATCTATCTATCAGATGATAAATTAGCTTCAAATAAAAATAATGAATCTGGTAATGATTTTCTATCTTTAACTAATTTAATGAAACAATATAACATATCACTTGCTGAATTAATTAAGTTAATTAAAAATAACAAATTAAATTTTGCTGAAAATAAAACAGATTCATCTATAAGCAAAACTACTTCTGCTGATCCACTGATTGAACGTAAAAAAGACAATACTCTTGGTTTGTCTACAAGCACCTTTTCTACGCTGCGTACTGCATCTTCTTCTTCAGCTAAAATCTATTCTCTCGAAATCAATCGACCTGATAAAGAGAGTAAGATTGATATGCTTTTTAAAAAAAAATTAAGATCAAAGCAAAATCTTTATTCTTCGAATGAAAATATTTCTTTTTCTCATTTTAGAAAACAAAGACAAAGAAACAAATGATGCTGATGAAGTTAAACCAAATGATCGTACCGATGATCAAGATGAAGATGAACTTAATAAAGATGAAGAAGCTGAAAACCAATTGAAAAAACAACAAGAAGACGCTGATAAAGATGATTTTCAAGCAGTCGATGAAAATAAAGGAAAACCAGGTTTGTTTTGATTAATAGCTTTTCATTTCTTATCCTCAATATAGAAGATAATGAACTCAAATCACAAGATGATGATGGCACCGATAATGATCCTGATCAACAGATCGAGAAAGGAAATCCATCCATCAACGATGAAGATGCAGAATATCAAGGTTTTATTCCAAACAACAGCATGATTTTTGTTTCTTTCCTATCAATATATATATATATACATATCGATGCATTGTAGTGTTTTATCCAAGTTTTCTTTTCAGAAAAGGCAAATCTAACTTTTAGAAAAGCATCATCTTCACATATCCACGTTGGATAAAACACTGATGCATGATTGTAGTTAAAAATCATACTCAGGGAAATGCTTTAAACTTTTGTTTTCTTATATTATTATATTCTTGTTTTGTTAATATGACTAACACCAAACAAATTGTTTATTAAATCCTTTTTTTTTAAATTTTTTTTTCAGGCACTAATGTGGGTCCAAATGGAATGAAAATTAAAAAGCCAACTGATGAAGATAAAACTCAATCTGGTAATTTTTCTTGTTTTAAATATTTTTTTTTGTGAATAAAAGAAAAAAATTTTTTTAGTAGAGAAATCTCCAGAAAAGAATATCAAGACTCCAGGTATGTTTATTATATGAGTCTTATGATTTTAAAGAATTTATTTATTGTTTTTTTTAGATTTCGAATCATCTAAATCACGAATAAGTAAGAAGAAGCTTTCACTATAATTAAGCTTATTTTACATAAATAAAATCTAAATATGAATAAGAACAAAATATAAAATAGTTCTTAAAACATTCTAAGACATAAAGGTAACCAGAGCTTGGAATTAAACACAGTAAAGTTTTTTTCATCCCGTAGCCATGCCATTTTTAACTCAGACATGAAACGTCGAAGAAAGAAGATATTAGTAATCATACAAGGAGTATTGCATCAAGATATTTGAAATTTGATGTTAGTAATAGAGAGTCAGTTCGAATTCTCTGTTAATGATTTGTCAAAATTTTGGAAATAGAGCCAAATAAGACTAATCTAACTCATCAATCATCGTCGACAAATTATTCAAAAAAAGTTGTTTGCTCAAGACATCAAGTATTTAAGAGTATTTGCAGAGAATGTTTTTTTTTGTTTTTTAATAATCAATTTTAGTTAGAAAATTTGATCACTGTAGAAATTGAATACTCCTGAACATCACTAGTGGTAGAAACTATGAACAGTAAAATTTCTAAAATCCAGCATAGCAATATATCCTTGACTTAAAAGCTTTTGGTTTTTCCATTTGCAAAGTTCAATTTTTGAATGTTAAAGATTTCCTAGTGCTATTATATTGACCTGTAACATTGATTCACAAATTAGAATATGATGAAAATACTTAGCAATAGAAGTTTTATTTGTAAATCTCGTTACTTTAGTTCGATAGGTTTTTTTCTTTGATATAAAATTTATTAAAAAAAAAAAAAATATTTCTTTTCTAGAACCAGTGCCATCGCGAAAATATGATGATAATGATGGATGGTCAGGCAGTTTTGTAACTTATTTTCTTATTTTTACTTTATTTGTTGTTGTTGGTTATTTGGTATTACATAATAAGAACAAGGTAAATAAAAATGACCTTTTTTAATTATTTTTTTTTTTTTTTTTGAATTGAAGACGCAAAGAGAAAGATTAGTGAAAAAAAGCGGACGTTGTTTTTTTTTCTCGTGATTCTTTTAGGTGTTGGGCTTATTAATCGAAGGATGCAGACGAAATCGTTCATCACTTGGACGTCGTCATGGTGGAAGTTCGAGTTCTACACGTTATCAACGTTTATCACAGTCATCTTAGATTAAAAGAAAAAAAACACGTCCGTCTTTTTTTTTCATGTCTTTGTCTCTCTGTAATTCTATTTATTATATTTGTATTCTTAATACTTTTTTTTTTGTTCTATGTAATTGTCGTTCTATTGTTTTTTTTTCTTTTCTCAAGTTAATGGCATATGTTGTCGAAGGTCGTCGTTCTGGTGCATCACGTACTGGTAGTCGTCCATCTCATCGTGGTTATGAAAAATTAAAAAATGTTAATGACATTATTCCTCTTGATGATACAAATCCTTTGTCGGACAAAGAAGCTATTATTCTTAAAACTTGAATGATCATTAACATTTTATTATTATAAAAAACAAAAAAAACTGTGATTGAATAATTATCTTGTGTTCGTTTTTCTTCTTTTTTTTTTTTATTGGTCTTTCAATTGTTTCTTTTTGTTTTCTTCTTTTTCTCTTTCTGTTACTCTCATTGATTTCTCACGCATCTAGTTCAAAGCTTATTATTATTGTGGATATTCACCATCAGTTTTATTGACTTATCAGAAATCACTTCTTCTTCTTCTTGTTTAGTTTAACTTCGCATTTGTGTAACTATAATAAATAAAAGTGAGCTTTCTTTTCCGACAAATACATGGTATATATGTAGTTTATATATTCTTGGAACAATTAAAGTCACTTTATTTACATCATTATCAATAATAAAAGCATAGTTTATCATCAAGTCTTTTATATGAATCGTTGCCGTCAGTATATCATAAGTAAACATTATTCAAGTTTGATGAAAATTTCAATGGTTAGACTTTCGCCCATACGACGTTTATTCTTGGTGAAATTTTGGAATCATAAAAATTTTTTCAAATAATTTTTTTAACTAAGGAGAAATACACATTAAAGTTCTAATTAATTCGACAGTGAAAATTGATATTGAATCGCCTATAAGGCAATAGCTGAGCAGATGTTCTTCACTTTTAATAGAACTCACTATTATCATCATTACTCGACTGCAAACATACGGAGTTTTCAAATGGCAATAATCTTTCACAAATATTTCCTATTTGCAGTAATCCGTCTAATTTCGTTGTTAATGAGCAGTGTGTAGTTGTTGATCTGTCTTGCAATGCAATCTAGGTATTTTCGGAGTGATCAGCCCCGGTTGAGTTTCTCATGACTGAATTTGGCGTACCAAGAGCATACGTATTGTTAGATTTGTTTGAACTTCTGCGAAGATAGACTTCGATGAAACGTAGTTGTCGACGTTGTATTTATTGCACCAAGATTTTCTGTTTGGTCTTTTCGTAAGTATTCATCATTTTAAGCAATATTTCCAATATGTCAAGTACAATTAAGAAATCGATAATAATAAGAATCCAAAGAATAATAAGTAAGTTTTGTTGATGAAGTCTTTCTTTATTATTTGTATTTGATTGTTTTCGTATACATATTCTGATATGAATATAGGCTACTGATAATATTGAAACAGAAAAGCAATTTATATTCGATATCATTCATAAGCAACTTCAAAAAACTATGTAAAGCAGTATTTGCTAAGGATTTACATTACATTATGCAATATATAAAGAGAACATAAGGAAACAATAGCTAAAATCAGCTGAGTATGTAAAGAAAATTATTCAAATTTAATACTATAAAGTTCTATTGCATTCTTAAATTTTTGATTTTGACTTTAGAGTTGAGTAAGTCCATGTCCATTGCTCGGACCTACTATCACATTTGTTTAAAGACCCTGACTTAGTTTGAACTTGAAAATTGGGTATTGTTAACTCGATTGTTTGATGCGAGTCATTTATTCAAGAAAATGAAAGTTGATAAGTAAATACTAGAATTAGTTTCCGAAGAGATTGCTGATTTTCTGCAGCACAAAAACTTAACCAATGATCTTACTTTTCAAAAACGAAATTCATACAAATTTCTTCTTAAACTTACATAAAAAAACCATATGTATTCTTATTACATAAGGACTAGTTGAACGTGTATTTTCTTAAAGCAGCCTTTTAGTAGGATAGGGAAACATCAAATTTGTCGAATACAAAAAATGTCGATCGCAAATTTGTCGATAAAATTTGTCGAAAAAAAATTTGTCGATTTGACAAAATTGAAATCCAAATTTGTCGAATTCGACAAATTTTATTAAAAAATGCCGATTATTGTATTATAACGTTCCTTTCTATGAATTTCAAATTCAATTATGACCACCTAAAATCTAACTTGAAATCAAGTTGAAATCAAGTTGAAATCAAGTTGAAATCAACTTGAAATCAAGTTGAAATCAACTTGGAATCAAGTTGAAATCAACTTGGAAT